CTGGTCCCATAGGATCACCCCCTACTAGACCAACTGGGTCTCCACCTACTGGTCCAACAGGATCACCGCCTAGTAGGCCAACAGGCTCTCCACCTACTGGTCCCATAGGATCATCGCCTACTAGACCAACTGGCTCTCCACCTACTGGTCCAACAGGATCACCGCCTACTAGGCCAACAGGGTCTCCACCTACTGGTCCCATAGGATCACAGCCTACTAGACCAACTGGGTCTCCACCTACTGGTCCAACAGGATCACCGCCTACTAGGCCAACTGGGTCTCCACCTTCTGGTCCAACAGGATCACCGCCAACTAGACCGACTGGTCCCATAGGATCACCGCCTACTAGACCAACTGGGTCCCAACCTACTGGTCCAACAGGATCACCGCCTACCAGACCGACTGGGTCTCCACCTACTGGTCCAACAGGATCACCGCCTACTAGACCAACGGGATCTCCACCTACTGGTCCCACAGGATCACCGCCTACAAGACCAACAGGATCTCCACCTACTGGTCCCATAGGATCACCGCCTACTAGACCAACTGGGTCTCCACCTACTGGTCCAACTGGATCACCGCCTACTAGACCGACTGGGTCTCCACCTACTGACCCAACGGGATCACGGCCTACTAGACCAACGGGATCTCCACCTACTGGTCCTACAGGATCACCGCCTACAAGACCAACGGGATCTCCACCAACTGGGTCTCCACCTACTGGTCCAACAGGATCGCCACCTACTAGGCCAACGGGATCTCCACCTACTGGGTCTCTACCTACTGACCCAAGAGGATCACTGCCTACTAGACCGACTGGGTCTCCACCTACTGGTCCAACTGGATCACCGCCTACTAGACCGACTGGGTCTCCACCTACTGCCAGCTCAGAAGCAACGGGTGGTTCAACAAATTCTGGCACAGGCGGTACAACAGACAGCTCAGCAGCAACGGATGGTTCAACAAATTCTGCTACTGGGGGTACAACTGACAGCTCAGCAGCAACTGGTGGTTCAACAAATTCTGCTACAGGCGGCACAACAGACAGTTCAGCCGCAACGGATGGGTCAACAAATTCTGCTACTGGTGGTACAACTGACAGCTCAGCAGCAACTGGTGGGTCAACAAATTCTGCTACTGGTGGTACAACTGACAGCTCAGCAGCAACTGGTGGTTCAACAAATTCTGGTACAGGTGGTACAACAGACAGTTCAGCCGCAACGGATGGTTCAACAAATTCTGGTCCAACAGAATCACCACCAACAGGTTCACCAGACTCCCGATCGCCACCCACCGTACTAACTGGATCACCACTTACTAGACCAACTGGGTCTCCACTCACTGACTCGACAGGCTCTTCAGTAACCCTTACTCAACCTACAGGTCCTTCAGGACCAACAAACCCAACGGCATCATTACCTGTAACAGGATCTCCACCGACTGGTCCTACTGGATCCCCATCTACCGGTGGCACTGGGTCACCACTAACAGGTCCTACGGCTTCTGCACCAACAGGATCATTACCCACCGGTCAAACACAATCACCAGTTACAGTATCTCTACCTACAGGACCTACGGGCTCACCACTAACAGATGCAACAGTTTCACCTATCGGATCAGGAAGAACAAGAGTCAGTTCCCAAACATCAGGTATGTTATGTCCTTTTGTTTCTTGAAAACGTCGTTAATTGCGTGTTCTATTATGAACAATTTTTATTTATTTTTTCCAGGTACCACTATAATTGCTCTACCACAAAACATAATAGCAGTCGATCCCGCCAACGTCAAAGTAAATACAAGAGCAGTGGATATGAAGGTGCGCCCAGCCATAAAATACTCAGGGCAACAAGCATTCATCTTCAACACCCCGAAGAGATCAAAACGCGGATCCGTTTGTTCTCGAATTCGAAGATTTCTTAGTGGTCGATTTACATCGGTGTTGAATCGATTCTGTAAATAAAGTGGAAAATAAAGGAAGTAACTGTGTGAAGTCAGATAAATATTTCCATAAACTTATGAAGCCTTATGCATCAATATCAGCTAAAAGAACAAAAACTGCTGTGGAAGCTAACTATTCTTTTTGTTTGTATATTTGTGCACCTAATAAATGTGAGCTTTGTAAACTTTTGTTGTTAGGGTGTATTTTGGTGTCTTTTTTGATTGGCATTTAGTAATTAACACAAGGTACAATTTTATGGATACACAATTACTGAGTTTAATACTAAGCGACGTTTCGACGAGGATACTCCCGTCTTTATCAAGCAAATGATAAAGACGAGAGTATCCTCGTTGAAACGTGGCTTAGTATTAAACTCAGTAATTGTGTCTCCATAAATTGTACCTTGTGTTGTATTTTGGTGTGCTTTAATTACTAACCATATTGAGCCTTGTGCACGACAGCTATCGCTGCTCATATCAAAACAGAACCCTAAGTTCGAAATCATTTCCACTGTTTCCTATGTCACGGTATTTTGTCTTTAAATTAAATGAAAAGAAATGGGGTTTAACGTCCTACTGTTCTGCTGTGACTGGGTTAATGAAGACAGGCATGCGTCATACAGTGTACAATGAGGGAAGGGGGTTGGATGGCTGAATGGTTAGCGTGCGCGCGCTGTATCATAAAGTCTGTCATTGAGTCGACTGGTGTGGTTTCGAATCCCCGGTTGTACGTGACAAGGAGTAGGGTCGCCTGTCCAACCTCGTGGGTTTTCTCCGGGTCCTCCGGTTTCCTCCCACTGCTAAAGACCCCTACGCGCAAGCGAATTATTGAAATAAAATTAAACCATATGTTAGTCCCGAAATGACCTAGTTTGTGTCGAGTGGACGTTAAACCCCATTTCTCTCTCTCTCTCACAATGAGGGAAATTTTGCCCGGGCAGCGGCACTATAGCCTACTCTTATATCAAATTCCAACTGCCAAGGGATCTTTTACGTGCACGCCAATGTGTACACTTGTCCCATCCGAACGACTAGACAGCTGTCCTTGTCAGGCACTCCCGAAAAATCCGTTTGTCCAGTGCTGAATAAAGCCGCCGACAAGGACATAAAAAAAATGAGTCCAGGGGAGAACGATCTAAGTCACATTTTTTTGTCTTTTCGCATAAAAGGCAAAACAGACTTTTGGACGAGAATGTTTGACGCGAACAGAACAACGAGTATGTTTTATTACAACCTCAAAATAATGTTTAATACGAATCATAATTACCATTACAACAACTGACTTCACTTTTCAGCCAAATTAAGGTCAAATAAATACGATTGACTTGTATTTGTCCGGGAGGCCTTTTCAGAAGGGCCTTGGTTCGATATGACTCCGGTCATTTTTACCTGAAATTGATGGCTCCACAAAAAGCTTATACAATTTGCTACCAGATGGCGCCATTAACTGGGGTTCGTTGAAAAAGTGATTTAGATCGTTCTTGCCCGGGCCTCTTCATATATTATATATACACGTTTATAGATTTCATAAAATTAGCCATGTGATCGAGAATTAAAATTTTGACAAGGGGGTACATAAAAAATTTAGAAACAGATCATTAAATCAAATATTTCTTTCTTTCACTTTCACTAAATCCCCCACACTGACATGTTTCCAAGTAATTAACTCGTTCGTTTCTTGGGGCGTAACGTCAGCTTCCATTTAGGGTGGTATCGCAGACAAGTGTTTCTTGGGGAAACTTGCAAGTGGAGCGGAATGAAAGGTGCGTTTCTCATACCAAGCAATTCAAGGACATGAATGCATTTATATTGTCCAGCTCACACCTCAAGGGTTAATGTTCTTGAAAGGTTTGTGAAAATTCCGAAAATCGCCCCCCCACCCGCGTCCCCCTCCACCCGCGTCCTTGGGTAGGTCCTCTAGCATTTATACCAAGGCTTCTTGGCAGGTTTGTGAAGCATGCAGAATCGTTACTAAAATTGGCCCCAGCGCCCTTGGGTAGGCCCCAACATTTATATCGTCTAGCGTACCTCAAGGCTTGATTTTGACAGGTTTGTGAAGCTTGGGGAGCCCAAATTGGCTCCCGCGCCCTTGGGTAAACATGTATTTATATCGTCTAGCGTACCTCCAGGCTTCTTGATAGGTTTGTAAAGCTTGGGGAGACGTTGCGCAAATTGGCCCCAGCGCCCTTGGGTAGGTCCCGTAGTATGTATATCGTCTAGCACACCTCAAGTTTGTGAAGATTGCGCCGCGTGGGTAGGCCCCTAGCATTCATATCAGCCAGCGCACCTCAAGGGATCTTGGAAGGCCTATGAAGCTTCAGGAATCGTTGCCCAAATTGGTCCCCTTAACCAATCCCTCATGGCTAAAAGAGTAAGTTTGGGGGACACTTCCAAATACTTTCCACAACAATAACAGACTTACATCAAATTCAAACTGCCAAGGGATTTTTTTACGTTTACGCCAATATGTACACAGGACCTCGGTTCTGCGTCCCATCAGAACGACTATACAGCTGTCCTTGTCACTTCCCCCGTCCTGCACCACTGACAACGGGAAACCACGCCGGAAAATCCCGAGGAACTAACTCGGCCAACACCTCCAGGCTAGCGAGCCAACATCTTACTCACTTAGCCACCGTGGCTCCCCTTAGCCACAAACTAACCTAAATCTAATAGAGAAAAATGATTAAATAGTACCCAGTTTGCATAGATATAAAAATTGGGAGTCTATTACGAAACTAATGACGTTACGAAAATGTCCTCCCATGTGACGTTTTATACCTAATGAGATTATCATCTGATGCGACAGGAAATGGGTTAAGGTGATATTAATGGTGATTTGAACTCTATTTACAATGTGCATTTCATTCCGTTCTACCTCATTTACTCGCAGCACTACATCAAAAACAATTGATCAAATCAATCAATGGCGAATAACATCACGTGGGAATACGAATAACGCAGACGTTAATGCACTCTTACAGCTTACTCTCGGCTGAGGGTTGATCTATTTATCGCTTCGGCTCCGGAGAATTTCTGATTACATATTGCACACATTGTTAACACGAAATAAACCCCTGGAGATACTGAATTCAAGAGATAACGAGTCGTGTAACCGTTTTATTAACATAGAGTTCTGTGCACAGGTCAGCCTTAATGGTAACACGAGTAAAAGCAAGCGTAGAATGGGTCTATATATCCCTAGCAACATGTATGCCATTTGAGCCAGTTCGTCTTTCACGTTGAGAGTGCTGGAATAAATGATCAATGTACACGCCGCCAGTAGAGAGCTAATATTTCTTAACCCAGTAGTATACACAGCCTGTGTGAAAATCAATATCCGGTTAACTATGTCTCTAGACTGGTTTACCAAACTTTTGAAGAACCATTCCCCGCTAAACATGGCCGCCGCCGAAACAAAACGGGTCGTTGCTATGGCTGTTGATGAGAGCGAGCATTCTGATAAAGCCTTTGAATGTAAGTATTATAGTATTTAATATCTCACAGTTTGTATTTATTGTATTATTTCTACCTGAAAGAGTTTAGATTTGGCTTGGGTAGATCGTAAAATACGAAAAATTCACCATTGAAATACACATTCTGATACGCGTTCGTGTGTCCGGTAAGCTTCAGGTGGGACTAAATTCGTAACCCAGAGTACAGTATTGGCCCTACAAGTAGACGAACCCCGAGTCTGGCACTGTAGGGTACACACAACTAACAGAGTCTACCTTGTCTAAATGTCTAAGTCACCGGAAGATCAATGGGGATTAACGTTCGTTACCTATAGCATATATATATATATATAAAATGTTAAAATGTTATTAAACCAGTGTTGAAATCAGTTTTTGTCGGCATACTTTTTATTTTTTCATCGTTTACCGTGAAACAAAGTAGTGCAGCTTTACGGTTGTACTAATAGTTCTAGAGAGATATATATATATATATATATATATATATATATATATATATATATATATATATATATATGTGTTTACTTGTACTCACTGGGACTTGAGCAATATGGCACCTTGAGGCTAGACAGGCAACAACAAACACAAGTGGAACTCCTTCAACGTAGATGAACAAGTTATGATCAGCAATTTGTACCCGTTCACCTATTTTAAATATGAACAACATGTTTCTATAATATTCTAACAATTGATAATAATTATAGTTTGCATGTATAGGAGGAGGTCCGGACAAACGCCACGAGGTTAGACAAAGTGAAATGAAATAAAGTGGGGTTTAACGTCCTACTGTTCTGCTCCTAACCTGGGCTAATGAAGACGGGCATACGCCATACAGCGAGCCAGCCCACGAGGTTAGACGGGCGAGTGGTCTTACAATATTGTTTAATTAGTCCGAGTGGTCTTTTTGGTTGGTCCGAGTAATCTCTGTTTTGTTCTCCTTTTTGATCCGACGGCTCTTGTACCGAATGTTTTTTGGTCCGAGTTGTCTGGATAATAAACAGAAAGTTGAATTTACGACCTCGTTCACAAGAGTGTGTCCCACGGGTTCATAAGATCGTACTCTGGTTCGTAACAACATACCCTGGTTCGTAAGATCGTACCCTGGTTCGTGAGATCGTACCCTAGTTCATAAGATCGTACCCTGGTTCATAAGATCGTACTCTGGTTCGTAACAACGTACCCTGGTTCGTAAGATCGTACTCTGGTTCGTGAGATCGTACCCTGGTTCATAAGATCGTACCCTGGTTCATAAGATCTTACCGTGGTTCGTAAGCTCGTACCTTGGTTCATAAGATCGCACCCTGTTTCGTAAGATCGTACCCTGGTTCATAATATCATACCCTGGTTCATAAGATCGTACCCTAGTTCATAAGATCGTACCCTGGTTCATAAGAGCGTACCCTAGTTCATAAGATCGTACCCTGGTTCGTAAAATCATACCCGTGGTTCATAGGATCGTACCCTAGTTCATAAGATCGTACTCTGGTTCATAAGATCGTACCGTGGTTCTTAAGGTCGTACCCTGGTTAGTAAGATCGTATCCCGATTCATAAGATCGTACCTGGTTCATAAGATCGTACTCTGGTTCGTAACAGCGTACCCTGGTTCGTAAGATCGTACTCTGGTTCGTGAGATCGTACCCTAGTTCATAAGATCATACCCTTGTTCACAGGCTTATAAGATCGGGTCAGAAGATGACATCCACGTTCATCAAGGTCAGCTTCTATAATGTTTGCCTCAAAAACAATCTATCTATATGATGAGAGATTGAGTAAATGTTATTATTGGTGCCATTTATCATGTTGTAGATCAATAAACACTTGGTGTACTGAATCTCTTTCATTATAATACTCTTCATATATAATGACAGCAGATTACAGCAGGGGATTACAGTGCATGGAAGCATGAAGACTTATAATTATATGAGAATGTAATGATCACAGAGAGAGGGAGCGAGAGAGAGAGAGAGAGAGAGAGAGAGGGGGATTAAAGCGCATGAATGTAAAAAATTCCAAATGATATGAGAATGCAATGACCAGAGAGAGAGAGAGAGAGAGAGAGAGGGGGGAGAGAGATAGGGAGAGAGAGGGGCGGGGGATGGGATAATGCGCATGAAGAGTTACAGATTTCCAAATATGATATGAGAATATAATGAGGTTTACATTCTCGCAAATGAAATGAAATGAAATAGTGTATAACGTCCTACTGTTCTGTCTCCCGAGTTCACAGAGCTTTCTCAGACTTAAGTTAAGAATTTACTCAAAATTGTTCGCTTTATTTTAACTAAAATATAGCCCTTTATAAAACGTTTGTTGTTTTAATGTATCAAATACATCAATAAGAAACTGTGTACAAAGTTTTGTGTTTCTCATTAGACAAGTTGGTGCAGTGCAGAAAAGTAAGTCGTATAAGTTTTATCACTTATCACTAAACATGTTATTGACTCATTAAATCCATTCCATCAAGATTTATTGCGAAATTCTCTCGAGATTAGATATAATTGAAGTTTGTGTACTAGTTTGTTAAACAGGGTTAATAAATAGATGGGCTTCCTTCCTGTGCCAATTTTAACGTTTTCATTTTGTCTTAAATATTGGATACTAGAAGCCCATCTTTTCCCGGTAAGATCACAACATAAAAGTTGATTTAAATTAACCAATAAGTCGTGTTTGTAATGTCGAAGGCTTTGGATGATATTGAGTTCAGGGGGTCACGTTGATCAAGTGGGTAAGACGCTGGCTCGTTAGCCTGGAGATTGGGTGTTCGATCCCTGCATTTGCCGAGAAAGTTCTTTCAGATTTTCCGGCGTGGTTACCCCTTGTCAGTGAAAAGGACGGAGGGCCTGACAAGGACAGCTGTTTCGTCGTTCGGTTGGGACGAAAAACCGAGGTCCCGTGTACACATTGGCGTGCACGTAAAAGATCCCTTGACAATTGAAATTCGATATAAGAGTAGTGCCGCTGTCCGGGCAAAACATCCCTCATAGCACACTGTATGGCGTATGCCCGTCTTCATTAGCCCAGTCGGAGCAGAACAGTAGGACGTTAAACCCCATTTCATTTCATTTTGTTTCCTTTAAGTTCATTTCGTCCTGATTTATTGCGAAATTCACTAGAGATTAGATATAATTGAAGTTTATGTACTAGTCTGTTAGACATGTTTAATGAATAAATGGACTTCCTTCCAGACTGTGTATGTAATAATAATTTAAATAAACACGACTCTTACATTACCTCGTAATTAATGTAAACAGATGGTATGCAGGAAGATCAGCCTGATTCATCTTGGGACAAAATTACTGTCATAGTTAGGCCACGTTGTATGAACTGGCGTCTGCGGACCTGACAAGGCGAGTGTAATGGTAGTTCAGATGAAACGGAAGAAATTAATTCAGACAATCGGAATGCAATTCAAATTAATCTCGCATCGAATTATAGATCCCATTCATACTTTCATATCGTGTGTGCGTATTACTGGGTTTGGTTGGTCGAATGGTTTAATGCGAGTGTGATGGTAGTTCGGATGGAACGGAAGAAATTAATTCAGACAATCGGAATACAAATCAAATTACTCTCGCATCGAATTAAAAATTGCAGTCATACTTTCATATCGTGTGTCCTTATTAATGGGTTTGGTCCGCGGAATGGTTAAATGCGAGTGCATTAGATTATAAAGTCTTTCATTGAGTCAAGTGGCGTGGTTTCGATTCCCAGCTTGTATGTGACAATGAATAGGGTCGCTTGCAAAATCTCGTGGGGTTTTCCTGGGCCCTCCGATTCCCTGTCACTGCTGAAGACCCCATTCGGCCACCGAACCCTCCTTAGTTCGATCAATCTTGAGACAAAATATCGTGTTTTCTTTACGACTTGGCTTTGATGGTTTGTAGGGAGGGTTTGGTGGCCGAATGGTTAGCGCGTGCGCGTTGTATCATTGAGTCAACAGTCGTGGTTTCGATTTCCCGGTTGTACTCGACAAGCAGTAGGGTAGCGTGTCCAACCTCATGGGTTTTCTCATAGTCCTCCGATGTCCTCCCACTGCTAAAACCCAAAACGCGCAAACGAATTAATGAAATAAAATTCAACCATATGGACGTTAAATCCCCTCTCTATGTCTCTCCCTTTCTCCCTCTCTCTCTCTCTTTCTCCCTCTCTCTCTCTCCCTTTCTCCCTCTCTCTCCCTTTCTCCCTCTCTCTCTTTCTCGATGGTTTGGACACTGGTCCTCAGCTCCTCACGTGGAGCTGTTAAATCGAACGTGCTGGAACGAACGTAAATAATGCAAATAATAGCATCGCACGCAGATCAGATTAATATCTCGGGACAAAGTTATAGCGTACAGCCGTGCTTTCATATCGCGTTTCCCTTTAAGACAAGGGTGGTGCTGATTGATTGGTTTGTACGCTGGTTCTTATCAGGGTCTAAGGACCTGACAAGGCGAGTGGGTTGGTAGTCCAGATGCAACAGGTGTGTAATTAATGCAAACAATCCAAATACCATTGAGATTAATCTCGCAACCAAGTAAAGATTACAGTCATACTTTCATACCGTGTTTCTTCTTAGACGGGACCTCGCAATCTGTTTCACAGAGAATTACGAGTCTTCTCTAATATATCTGTAAAAGATGAATGCCCTTAACACGTGCCGTCACAGCACGCGGCGTCAATAATTGGCTGAATGGCGCGTGCATTGTTTATATAAGACGTTACTGCTTTGGGCAGAATGCTGCCATTTTAATACCCATTTACAGTAAATAGGAAATAATTTTTACCTACAAATACGTCAAACGTCTTTATTTATTTTTCTAATACATCAAAAAAATGTTTTAGAATTTAATTTGTCGGTGGAAAAAAGTTAATATTTGAGACTCATTAAGTCGCATTGATGTCATCCTTTTCAGTGATTATAACGGCCTAGTGAATATTCACTGCGGATCAGTGTGGGGACCGCGGTTGTTACGTGAAAAGGACACTGATTCTGAATCCCAGCATTCATTTCACGGACAACAAA